TATTTATTCTCTACTACTAGCATACTAAATGATTCAGATGACCCTTTTGTCCCATGCAGTACTAGCAGAGTTTGCGTTTTAATATACTCTTAGATTTTTCTTTACCAAGAATGATTGATTTCTCTGACTCTTCATTTAGATTGCAAATCACGTCCTTGTCAGCAAACCTGTAACATGAGATATGCAAATGTATGTTTTATGAAAAGAGGCTAAAGCTTTGTTAATAAAGGCTGTAGGTATTAAAATAAACTTAGCAAGAACAACAGACCATCAAAATTATTTTAACATATTAAAAACATTAGCTGTCATTTATATTTGTGTACACGTGTACGCGTGTTGTTACATATTTCACGGGCATATGATTGTACATTGTGTCAGACAGGATCCATCATGGACAATCAGCAGCTTATTCTCTCTGCTTCAGCCACAAGGTCCTGTATCAAAAGATCTAGGTCATTGTTTTATGCCTGGGCAGTTGGATGGAATTTGGAGAGGGAGAGATGCTGGAAGAGCAGACAGAGGTGAAGGATTTAAATAGTTGAGATGAGCCGATCTTTTTGAGACCACATCAGAGCCACTTAAAAAAAAACCTGACAACTGATAATGAAAACGTGGTTACTAATTAATATGACTTTTTAGAGTTGCTCTCTTAAAAATAGTTTCAGTAACTGATGGTGATTGTGATTGTAATCCTGCAAAAGATTTCAAAGGCTTTCAGTGAAATAGTACACAGGTTAAAAAGATAGAGGTTGTAAATAAATATTATCTACTAACTTGTCACGCCTAGGTTTTTCAAGTTTGCTAATACAGATAAAGTTTTGTACTGGAAAATAATGTAACTTCCTCTCTGTACTGCTCTGCCCCATCAGGAGGTGATTGTGTTAAACAGTGCCCACAGCAAACCTTCAGTGACTCCAGTGGGTGGCGATGTCAGACCTGCCACAGCTCATGCCAGACATGCCACGGACCTCATTCAACAGACTGTGATGTTTGTCTTGGTGGAAACCCTCCTCTACATGGCCAGTGCCCTCTGCTCAACTGCCCACTGGGACAGTACTTTGATGGTAAGAGGAACAATCATGATGAGGTGTAATGTTTTTAGCTGTTAATAATTTTTCTCCCTTTTTAGAGAAAAGTAACTTTATATGGTGGTGAGGCCTATGTGATTTACTGCATTTCAGTAAAAAATAAACAGTAAAACAAAGTGAGTAAAGTACTCAATGGCAAATTAGTATCAGCTGACAATAGAGACGGGGATCATACTGAACAACATGATACTTGATTCCCTGATGGAAATAATTGCTTTTCTCCAATGCAAGGTCAGAGCAGAGTGTCCCTGGAATTTTGAGGGATTCACTGTCTTGTTCAAGGACACTTAAGCATGGTAGAGGCTTGCCACTGAGACAGCGGCTTGAACCCTGCTGAAGGACCTCTAGGTTGAAGGACGGTCTCCTACTCACTGTGTAACCTTTCATTGAAGAGCCATTTTAATGGTGCAATTTCAAAAGGGGCTGTGTCAACAGCGTTGGAACACAGAACTGTATTGTTATAAATCATATGGGCTAATCGGACTGATCATTTACTTTTCTGCTTCACTGATTTAATCATTTACACGCTTGTGTGGATAAGTTGGGTGGATGTTCATTGTCAGAAGCACTTGTCATTTAGCCACGTTTTTTTCTAAACCACCTGCTGCTTACACTGTGAGTAAAAAGAACAATTTTAAGTTCATTTTGTAACCTCAAAGCATTGCGCTAATAATAAGAATAATGGAGTTTAACATTGGCAGTGCTGTGCATGTTATATGCCAGGAACAGGCAGCTTTTGAACATAAATGGTTTACTTGCCATGATTATAACTCACTGACCTCTCCAATCTTTCATGTCAGCAGTAAGCCCTTCTAAATGTAGCATGTCAATATTTTTGTGTAAACCATCATGACACATTTTTCACATTTTGTTATAGTGTAAGGTTGCTCTGTTTATTGTTTTATTTATAGGTAAATATGGTGAATGTCACACCTGTGATTCATCCTGTAAGACCTGCTTTGGCCCCCAAGCACTGGATTGTTCTTCATGTTTCAAAGGTACAAATATTTACTTTCTTCTGTCAATATAGTAGAAACATGATTCAAATTCCTATTGTGCCGTGTACATTTTGGTGTCACAGGATACTTCCTGGACCAGGACGGTTCTTGTGTAGTGAAATGTACATCTGGCTCCTACGCAAACTCTGCCACTCAGTTGTGTGAGGACTGCTCGCCAAACTGTGACACCTGCGTGGACACGAGTGATAACTGCATCAGCTGTTCAAAAAGCAGCTATAAACTTTTTCTCCACCAGGGGCGGTGTTGGTCGAATTGCCCAGAGTAAGTGATTGAACGAAGATGACGAAAAAATATCTGTAATTACTGTGTTGTGTTTCATATTTTATGCCTTAACAAATCTCCTGACTGATTCCAGAGGTTTCTTTGAGACAGCAGAGGGGTCATGTGAAGCCTGTGATAGCTCCTGTCTGACATGTGATGGCACCAAGTCTCAGTGTCTATCCTGTGCTAATGGCCACTACCTAGAGAGTGGTATGTGTAGACTCAACTGTTCACTGCGGACATACCCTGCAGATGATGGTACCTGCAGACGCTGCCCTCCCCACTGTGATGTTTGCTCAGATGACAGCACCTGTTTCAGTAAGTTATTAATAGTGTGTGCAGCTAAGCTTTAAGAGGAAAAATATTCCAAGTGGGTGACATTTTTATAATGTATTGTAAGACATCTTGAAATCTCTTGTTAGAACTTTACCACCCCTCCTCCGTATAATTTCAGAATGCAGTTTCCTCTACCTGATGCTGAATGGTGTGTGTAAAGCTAGTTGTCCCATGGGCTATTATGAGGACATGGAAGAGGGCCGTGTGGTCAGTGCCACCCTACCTGTGGCAGCTGTTCAGGGCCCCTGGAAGATGACTGCGAGACCTGCTCAATGTTTAGCCCCAAACTCTACAAGGGTGCATGCTCCAAAGACTGCCCACTGGTACTTACTATGAAACTGAAGCTATGGAATGTCAAGGTGAGAATCTCAATACATAGATGTGACTTGATTAGATTTTTAAGCGGTGTTGTATATGCGAGGTAACAGTTTTCTGGCACTGTCCTTTTTAAATAGTTAATCAGTTCCCATTGTTTATGTACAGGGGTATGTCACCTAGGGAAACTTTATTTAAAATAGTCCATGTTTCACCTTTATAAGACGTAGAAAGTGGCCTTCATGGCTCCTAACACAATGAAAATAATGCAAAAGAAGCCATCAAGATGAGGGATTGTGGCTACAATTTGGCCCATGGATAGTGCTGGAAAGATGCTGATGGGTAAACGGGTAAACTAGTCAAATACATAAACTGTATCTGAAGTGAAACATCTTAAAGTTTTTGCCAGCCATGTTTTGTGAAATGGAAATCCGGCATAAGAGGGAGATCTTGCTTTGGTTTGTAGGAGTTTAATATAAGTGGTTGATCAGAAATTTCAGATGCTGAACTTACACGTGATCAAAGAAGTGATGAAAGAACTGGATTTCTTCCAGAACTAGCTGGAGACACTTCATGATTATTTGCTTATTACTAAATTCACAGCAACTACAACCGCAACAGCGTCACTGCCAAGCTTTATCTGTGGGCGTAATGATAATGAAGTCTAGTATTTACTTAAATGATAATCACTTAACATGGTGGTGATCCCACCCTCTTTTGTAAACGATAAGACATTCCAATGATGCAGTCTGATTTGTTTGTCCATGTGCAGAATGCCACCAGACTTGTATGCGCTGTTCTGGCCCAGAAGCAAACCAGTGCACCCAGTGTGAGAAAGGACTCGTGCTGGATCCAAATACATTGTTGTGTGGCGTGACAGGCGACACAACTGCCCACCAGGACCTACCTGCACGACGACCAGTTCACCTGCATGGGTTGCCACCGGCACTGTTACTCTTGTGAGGGGCCGGGCAACGATCAATGCCAGACCTGTGCCGTCCCCAAATACCTTCATAGTGAGCATTTTTTTCTCCACTAATGTCCGACTGCACTACACTGAAGTGGTTCAGGGTGTAAAATAAACAAAAATCCACAGAAAAGCTGATTTTTATTTGCATTTATTGCAAAGCCATACATCTCCAAACTATCAGGTCTTGATAACAATCTTATTTTTAACCTTGATGACTAACAAACTATTTTATCAACTATTCTTTGCATTTGATGCCCTCAGTACACCTTGAAAACTGATTGTAAAGTGACGGCTCTTCTGGGAATATTTCACCTTATCAGTCTTGGTTAAATGGCCATATGTTAACTGATCAACAGCTGGATAGATTTATGATGGCAATAGGCGTGTGTCCATTCTATTGTCATGAGGAAATAGGAACGCCTTGAGCCATTGTCTTTAAAATTTTCAAAAACTCTTCATTTGCTAAAAACGTGACCACAAAATACACATTTTTAGCCATATCTGAAGAATTGATGATCGTATTTCACAGTTGATCGGACAACGAATTGGTGACACGCTGAGCATGCTGTGCAATGTGTCTCGAAGTACTGTGCCCTCGCAGTTGAGTCAACATAAAGTTATTAACTAACACTATTACAAAAATCACTTTTTGGCAATTCATAGAAGAAAATAATCTCATGTGAAATGTTTTTTAACCATCCTTTACAAGGTAGGTGCTAAAAAACTGTTCTGATGAACAAGAAAGAAAAGTAAAAATGAGTGCATGACTACTAATGAATTGGGAGTGGAACGTTTTTTGCATGTGTGCTATTTTCCAGATGGCACCTGTTTGACTGAGTGCCCAGCTGGTACATACAACACAAGGCAGGAGCTGACGGAACAGAGCTGGGATTCTGTTTGCCCTGTGACCATGTCTGTTCCACTTGTACCGGAGCATCGCCAAGAGATTGCCTCACTTGTTCTCCAGGATACCTGCGCCTCCTTCAACTCTGTGTCACGCATTGTCCCACAGGGTACAGAGTTGATCAAGCTCTCTATTTACTTACTATTACAACTTCACCTCCTGTAATGGTAGCTGACTTTTTTTAGAGCGAGTAGGTTCTATGTAATTTCATCAGCAGTTGAACAACTCCCTCTGAAAACATTTCCAATGTGATGTCACTTGATATTTAGTCAGAGACTAATGTTAAAATATGTCTGCAAGAATCAAAAATCTGTGTACATGTCTGACTTGTTAATATTGATGATTTCATGCCTTTCTTCAGGTATTACAGAGAGGGCCCCTACTGTGAGAAATGTGACCAGTCCTGTGAGCTGTGTACAGGAGCAGGGCCTGAGTCCTGCAGGAACTGTCCACCTCCTCTCCTGGAGCTGCAAGGCACTAAGCTGTGTGTTGAGCGATGCCCAGACCGCTTCTACCAGTTCAGTGACGTCTGCAAACAGTGCCACACCAGTTGTCAGACTGCACAGGTGATTAAGGAGCTCTGTAATAACGGCGCTTGGAGAGCAGAACATCTGCCTAATGTTCACCTACAGTCAATATTTTTCACTTGTGTCAATACTGGACAACACAGTTTTTTCACTTTTGCGTAAGGAGTCAGTTCATGTATCGTCATTTCATTTTGTTGTACAGCCTTGTGTTCTATAATGATAACTACATTTATTTGATCCTCAGTGTGTAATGAATGCATGTTTGCAGATGCCTCGCCTCAGGCCTGTATGACGTGCGACTGGGGCAGCACTCTAAAGGACAAAGTCTGCTATCCGCGTTGTGAGGAGGGCCGATACTTCTCAGAAGAGGTGTGCTCTCTTTCACGTTATATCATAAATGTATATTTGTAAAAAAGGCCCTGACAACATATTTACCCAACCAACTTCTTATTATGGGGGATGTCTGCCAAATATTTTGGGTTATTTCACATGAGAAATGTCTTTGTGTTTTTATCTGGTTTACTGATGGAATATTGATTTAGGTTCAGCTGGAAAATGTGATGTCATGTACTTCTGTGCACCAGTCGGGATGTAGCAATATTGTGAAAGTTTTTATATCACGTCCACACTTCTATTATACTCACATGCTCTCTCTCTCTCTCTTGCTGTGAGTCTGCGTCACACTTTTTTAATCAATTGATGTTTTTTTATAATGCCTGGTTTTAGGGTTTGCTGCAGCCTCCTCAGCACCCCTCCTTCCCATGTCCATGCCTCTACACATTGAGTAAAATAAGTCGTTTATTTTAAAAATGGTTGAATTCTGAAATTCTTGCGTGTCACTCGGGGGCCCTTTTTGGAGGGCAGGGCCCATTTCAATTGAAAGGCAGCCAATACTTAAGGTTAGAAATTAAATTTTCAGGGGATTTTAAACCTTTTGTTGCATCTTTCTACAAAACGCAACACAAATGTGCAGACAGATATTTACTCAGAACAACAACAGATGGCAATAAAAGCCACTTCTGTACAAAGAGGTTTGTTCCAAAGAGACCACATTTGGCTTTTATGTACCCAGTGTAATAATTTGTGAAATTATACCATTGTAGGACACCTGTGAGCCATGTGACACCTCGTGTAGGCATTGCACTGGACCCAGACCCGACCAGTGTCTAACTTGTCACCGGGATTCTGCTCTTCATGCTGTGGAGAACCGCTGCGCCCGCTGCTGTCAAGCTGAAGGGAATGACACTGATTGCTGTGTTTGTGACAGCCGCTCAGGTAGAGACCCTGCCTATTATAAGAGAAATATGATTGTTTGGATACGACTATCTACTAATGGCAGTTTTCTGTTCTAGCATTGTGTGTGGAGGCCCCCCAACCCAAGTCAGGAGACGGTCAGGTAACAGACCTGAATATGTCGTCTACAGTTCTGAAGCACACCTCAGCCGCTTTGCCTATTGCCCTGCTGCTAGCACTGGGGTTGGCTCTGGCTGTGTTTGCCTTGGTCAAGGCCCGTGCCAGGAAGAGGCTTTGCTGGAGCCAGAGCTATGAGAAACTCAGTGGCAGCGCCAGCATGAACATGCCCCACGGTGTGCCCGAGCCGGACAGTGGAGACGAGGTGGATGTGGTGTACACCAGTAAAGGAGGATCAGTATATCGGCGCTACAGCTTTGTCCATGAGCAGGTCGCAGATGTAGACCAGGATGTGGATGAGAGCACTTGTCTCAATCACTCTTAGATACATCTAAATCTCTGTAACTGAGCATTGCATTGTGGACACTCACAGGTAAATAGTTTAGTTTATGTTTAGAAGAGAATGTAGTTGTATTTTGCTTTGGTATGTTACTTTTTGAGTTCTGGTGTTTGATTTTACAAAGTGCCTGTACTTGTATAATGCACATTCTTAGATGAGGCATTTGTGAGTAAACAGTGGGGAGAAAATACATATATGTATATGACTTTTTCTTTTTTACTTGACATTAAACAGTTGAATTATCATGTATAAAAATTAAAATCTGCATGATTTGTTGTAAATACAAATTAACCACTCCACTTGATGTCTTGAGTGCAATTTGAAGACTCAAAGGTGTGTTTGATTTGTCTAGTGTAGTACTACAATTCGGCATTGGTTTGGAGTTGGTAGGTCACATGACATGGAAGCTATTGAAATAAATGATGATTTTCCCATAACACTGTTTTAACAATTGTAATTTATTGATGATCCCTAAGCTGACCCCCGGTGGTTAAAAGCGAGCTATCGGAGGTGAGATAACCGCATTTATACTGCAGAGACAAGGTGAAATGAGTAAGAAGCCGTCACTGGATCCTGGGTGAATGTCTGTCGAATATCCAACTTAAAACTAACTTCACCGCGGTAACGAAACATTGATTGTTTTTATTTTGCCAGATTAAATGGAATTAGGCGATGGCGCCTAGGCAATTGGGCAGCAACGTGAGCCCGTGAGTTTTATATTTGTTTAGACTACATTTTGGAAAATTAATTTAGTCGAATTAACTATTAACAGTTAATTTTGCTGTGTACCATTGGATGATGACAACTTTCCCTGAATTACTTTGATAGGGAAGAAATCCTAAAAACCAGACAGGTTCTGAAGCGTCACTGTTCCTGTCCCAGTAGGCTGCATACAGTGAGTTACACTCATAGTACACTGTGCTGCAAATTGAGTATATAAATACTTTGTTGAAAAAAAGCACACTCTTGAGCACTGATGTCCAAGCTCACATTCATCTGCCAAGTGTATTTATTTGTCAGGTTTAAGTCAGTAGCTTCCTGGTTACACAAAACGGACTCATTAGTGAGTTATTCAGACCATCAGGGGGAAAGTGAGATAAACACAGATCTATTACTGTAGACTACTTTATTACCATGCATGGCGCTCTTTCAGCGGCGTTTCTGGCAGCAGCATACCATCACCCTACCTTCCGAGAGCTGCCTACACTGCCAACCTGACAACGCGTCTGCAACCTCTTGCTTTTCATTTCGGCGCCTATGTTAACAGGTTGTTAGAGCAGCCACAGAGCCCGCGTGAGCAACGCAAGGGAAAGTTTGTTCTATCTGTCTTCACGGTACAGTTGTGTAATAGTCAGGGTTGCGTGGACTTCATACAGACATTTTTATTATGAAATCCTGCACTCTGTCAGTTTAAGTAATGAGCAGGAGTCTAATACGGAGTACTGTGGACAGTTCCCTCAGTATGGCTGTCCCAGGATCAGCACCTTGACAGTGGTTGTGAGACTTTAAAATGTGTTTAACTGTTTAAACTTTATTCAGTATGATGCTGCTGCTTTTCCTACTGTTTCAATGTCTTTATCTATAGAATAGGCCTATGTCACAGACATGGAGACCATAACTACTATTAACCCTAAACCTAACCTTACCTTAAACCAACTCTTCACACTAAAATGTTGGCTCCCATAAGGAAAGAGAGTCCCCACTATGTAACTGTGTGTAAACAGATGTAATACTTAATCACCTGTGAAGCCTATATATATAGTATAAAAAATAACAAACTATAATAGAAACAATGTGTATATATAAATAAAAATTGTGCATATAGAAAATCAAAATTCTTCTGTCACAGTTGCTATTGGCAATGTGGGCTAAACATCTATTTCCCATGCCAATACAGCCCTTTTGAATTGAATTGAATATTGTCTCCCTCCAACAGTGACATATATCTGCCACTGAAGAGAAAAAAATCTTGTCAATCAACAAGTCCTTTGTTGTCATGTGAAGGTGTTGTCTGTAGGCTCAATGTAGAGTGTGTACATAGCATAAATGTTGAAACATCCACCAGGACTTGTGCAACAAGTCAGATCCTACTTTAGGCCAACCAGGAAGGTGTTTAAAATGAATTCCTTCCACGCCTTCATTTGACACACCTACTTAGGGGGATGATTCAGCTTGTGCTCCTTTATTAAATGAAGAACTACAGCTTCTCCTCATTGTAGTGTAACCTGCAGAGTAGACAAGGTCACCAAAGTCACATCAAGCAGACTTCGAGCAAGGAAATGGCTTTGGGATGGTTGTTGAAGGGTCAGATGTTGGTGAGGTCCCTCTCTCTCATCCTCACGGGTATGCTCCTTTATTTTGTCCTTCAGCAAACTCTCTCTCCTTTTGACAGGCAGTCATCATCTGATCACACAATACCACTGCAGTTCTCTATTGACCTGCCTGGCTGCTCGGCTATCATCAGTGGGGATGTAGAGAGCAAGAAGAACGAATTGGAAGTGCTTCTGGCATCCAGGAAAAGACACAATTTTCTATCTGAGGACTTCTACCTCAATGTGACAAAAGACTGCCCAGCTTACATTGAAAAGAGAGGTTTCATGACAGTGCCGCTCAGTGAAGAGGAGAGGGATTTTCCCATTGCCTACTCCATGGTGATTCATGAGAAGATTGAGATGTTTGAGCGACTTCTACGAGCTATTTACACTCCTCAGAACATCTACTGTGTGCATGTGGACCAGAAATCCTCCAAAGAATTTCAGAAGGCTGTGGAGGCAATTATCTCCTGCTTTCCTAATGTGTTTGTAGCCAGTAAATTAGAAAATGTGGTATATGCCTCATGGTCCAGAGTGCAGGCAGATTTGAACTGCATGAAAGATCTGCTGAGCTCACATGTCCAGTGGAGGTACCTGCTCAACACCTGCGGGACAGACTTTCCCATCAAAACCAATGGAGAGATGGTTCAGGCTCTGAAGGCCCTCAATGGGAGAAACAGCATGGAGTCGAGGTCACCAATGACTACAAGAAAGGCCGCTGGCAGTATCATCACAATGTCTCTAACACAGTCATCAGGACAAGTGAGAGGAAAAGTCCTCCACCCATTAGCAGCCCCATGTTCCAAGGAAATGCTTACTTTGTGGTCACAAGAGCCTTTGTAAAACATGTCATGCAGGACAGAGAGATTCAGACATTTCTGGAGTGGGAGAAGGACACATACAGCCCAGATGAGCACTTGTGGGCCACACTAACAGGATGCCTTCTGTTCCCGGATCAGTGCCTGCCAACATTAAGTATGACATGTCAGACATGAATGCCATTGCTCGTTTGGTAAAGTGGAGCTATTTAGCAGGAGAAATGAAAAATGGAGCCCCGTACTATCCTTGCACTGGGGCTTACAGAAGAGCTGTTTGCGTGTACGGTGCTGGCGACCTCCAGTGGCTCCTCACACAACACCACCTCTTTGCAAATAAGTTTGATCCCGAGGTTGATGACACTGCTATTAGATGTTTGGAGTCAGTTCTGCGTTTCAAGGCTTTAGGTAACGGCCAGTTATTAACAGATTAATATGCCACCATTTTGTAAAGCTTCTAATCATTTGAAATGTAAAATAATATTGTAGAAACCATATTAATTTATTATAAAAAATTAGGGATCTTCTGATGAAATGTATTGAAATATTCTATTGCTATTAAGTCATTTCTGAAATATGATCCACATTGTATATATTTTTTAAATTATGTGGCTGTTAATCTTATGTCAAGATATTGTTATAGATCTTGTCATGACTTAATATCTGCTGCTAATAATCTGCTCGTTTTAATATTATTGCGAAGGTATTGATGGGGAACTTATGCCATGTCTTTTTTTATTTTTATTTTTTATGATTTCAATGACATGTGTTTGTGGTGCCATCTAGTGGATTCTAAGTGGAAGAGATCTGCAAAGCTGAGGAAAAAAATGTTGGTTATTTGAATCTTAACATACTCTTCATTTGGTCACTGTACAGTTTCAGTGCTAACATAAACCTCTGTCTTGTAACAACTGCAAAACAGGACCGGATGGAATAAAAAAATATATAAAAAAAAAACAATGATGTGGATCCATGACTTTACTTGGAGGAAATGTTACACTAAGACATACATCTTTACTTCAAATTGTTGCTGTCACCATGTTCTCCCTCAAGTCAGAGGGCACATTCAAGTGAGGGGCAAAAAATAAAACTTTATTTTCCCCAGGCAGGATTTTAACAGAGAACGCCAGCAGTGAACAGTGAAAAAGGTGCTGTCAGAACTTGTTCTACGAAATGCCACTCAGACACCTAAAATGCAGTTTAAAATCAGAGCAACCATAAAAATATATTAATTTCTCTCCATTGTCACCTTTTGAATATAAATATATATATTTAAATGTAATAAAGCAGAACATGCATCAACCATTTGTAACAGAGTGCCTTAAATAACGTGTAGATACAACAGTAACTAGGGAACACCAATAAGCTAAGTGTGACATGATATACCGGTAGTAAATAACTAAAAAAGATTAAAAAGTTTCAGACAGAATGTGGAAAAATGCAGAGGATTGAGCTGTAAAAAGTTCCACAATGTAACAGGCAGCATAGTTTCAAAAAAGGCACTCTCCTGATGCAAAGAGCCAAGTCTCCAGTCACGTTGCCCAGAGCATATACATTAGATTGTTGTGCTCCTCCTCCACATCTTGCAGTGCGAGCAGGGTCACTCCGGTATGGCAGCAGTTGCGATCTCCACTTTACCGTGCATGTCCTTGTCGATTCTGCAGACAGATTCAATAGTCATCAGACATCCATGTGACTGGGATGGTGTGTCATCTAAAAGGGCCAACACACTGTCCATAAACACGCTTTTCATTTGATCACATCCTGAAATGTGAAAGTACCATCACACCACTGCAAAGTAAATTCTTTGCCAGAGGAAAATCATTTTTACTTACCAAACCAATCTCCACCATACAAATTAATACCTAATTTGGTCTGTTATAATTCACACTAAAATATTAAGTACTTAAAATATTTGTGTGACACAAACCATCAATATCTGTTGTATAATGGAGGTTCTTACTTACCTTGAAACCTTATAAGACAAATGCACTAATGTGTGCTTCAATATGCAGCACACCCTGCATAAAGGTATAGACGTATACAATAAATACTCATATACAGTATGTGCAATCTTTGAATTTTTTCCAAGCCTTGAGTAATCTATTACAATCCGTAGCCATGTTACCAGTGCATAAATGTGCAATTTTTGTTGATACTGTCAGAAAGATGGCGATGTGTGAGGGTTTGAGTGCATTTGTCTTGCAAGCCTGTCAATCAATTTAGAAGCTTATGCACCTAATAACATATGCTCAACTAATTTTGGCAGAGTTCCATACACAACACAGAGCTTCTTGGACAACCCTGTGA